TATATATATATATATAGTAATGAGAAGAGGTGACTTAGAGACCTAACAATGAGGAAGGAAAAAAAAAAATTGGGCAGTGAAAGAATGCCACTGCGGGGGGGGGGGTTGTATGTTTAAAATTGTATTTGTATTTGTATGTTTTACTCTTTAAAAAATGTATAACTAATAAAGATTACTTTAAAAAAAAAAGAATCATAAGGTGCAACCAGGGTTGAAATTCAGCAGGTTCTGACAGGTTCTGGAGAACTGATAGCGGAAATTTTGAGTAGTTCGGAGAAGTGGTAAATACTACCTCTGGCTGGCCCCAAAGTGGGGTGGACATGGAGATTTTGCAGTATCCTTCCCCTGGAGTGAGGAGGGAATGGATGTACACCACTGGGTACAACACTTAGGGTACAAATAAGCAATCAGGAAACAATCAATATCAATATAAATTGCAAGGACACAAGCAACAAAGTTACAGTCCTGCAATCATAAGTGGGAGGAGATGGGTGAGAGGAGCGATGAGAAGACTAATAGTAATAGTAATGCAGCCTTAGTGGATGGTTTGACAGTGGGGAGGGAATGATTTGTTTAGCAGAGTGATGGCATTCGGGAAAAACCTGTTCTTGTGTCTAGTTGTCTTAGTGTGCGTGTTCTATAGCATTATTTTGAGGGTAGGAGTTGAAACAAAGTTGAAATTTGTTGTTACAAATGGACTCTTTGTGAAAGATGAGAATACTAATCAATTTACTGATATGTAAAGTAAGTGTAGACATACCAAAGTAATTTTTTTCCCCATTTGCGGTCAAGTTCTCACTAAACTTGAGAGGCTATCTCAGAAGAAGTTGGACTCATGGAGGGTTTATTTGGTTTTTTTCTTGCACTTACAGAAAGTCAGACCAGATCATCTTCATGGTCTCTTTCCAAAGCATCAGTAATCAACGCCTTAAACACCTTAATCCAGCAATCCCCAATCTTTCCGGCTTGGTGGCCAGACCGTATGTGTGTGTTTGTGTGTGTGTGTGTGTGTGTGTGTGTGTGTGTGTGAGAGAGAGAGAGAGAGAGAGAGAGAGAGGATGGTTCTGTGTGAGCAGCAGGCGTGCCCTTTGGTCACACAAATGGAACTTCACACGTGAGCATGAATGCCCCCCAGTCGCGCAGGTGGAGCTGAACGCATGCGCTCACCCACCACTTGGGCGTCCTGGATCCAAACGGCCCATAGCCCAGAGCTGGGCTGCAGCCTGGGGATTGGGTATTCCTGCCTTGTTATATCATTCCTATCTCAAATAACTGTTGTGGGCCGCCAGCGGGGCTGGTAGCAGATTCAGACAGTGAGAAGGTTGGGGAGGAACATGGGCCAGTCCTGGAGCCTGGGGAAGGCTCTGATAAGAGCTTTGTGTCAGAGGCAGAGAGGGGGCCAGAGCCGTCTGACAGTTATCAGCTGCCTTCAGAGTCAGACATCAGTGAGGCAGACAAACAGCTATAGCCTGTTCCCAGTGTGCACATGCGCAGAGTTGCCAGATGAAGAGAACAGCTAAGGGGTTGCCTTGGAGTAAGGCCACAGATGAATGATGAATGGCCCCTCCCAAAGGAAACAAAAGAGGAGCAAAAGAGGAGTGGAGTTTGCAGGAGACAATTAGTTCCCTTAATTGGTTGGTGACTCTCCAAGACTCCTTGCCAAGTTTTGCAGAGATCGGCCTGGCAGCTATTCCAAGCCAGATAAGGTCTGTGACCGTAAATCCTCCCTTGAAAGACTTTGCTAGGTGTGAATGAGCAGAATTCATAGTAAATTAATAAAAGGGCTTTTGTTGGGACCAAGAGTTTGCTTCATGCTCTTGGGAAGCCTAGGACAGAGCAAGAACTGTCTGCAGATCTCAACCTACAGCTGCAATATCCATCTGTGGTTAAAGTATTAATTTTCAG